CCGTGGGACGCCGCCATCCGCCCGTAAAAGTACGACAACCTCTTTTTCTTTTTGTCTTTTTATAACTTAGTTTTCACAATACGCTGTGTTCTTTTTCTTTTACTAGGGCAAAGGATATGACGGATGGGTAGTAAGATAAAGTACATATACATATATAGTGATGCGAACGAATTTATTTTTATTCACATCTTATTACACCGATTCTTCTTATTTTATAATATTCTTTTGCGATCAGCAGCGTTCGAACACGATCGGTGGCTCGGACGTCGCTAGTAGCGATTTCTGGAAAAAAGAGAATAAAAAAACTTTTTGATCACTTTTTCAGCAGAGAATAATATGCATTAGCACTAGTCACCATAAATGCAATACCTTATGGCTTATATTTTGATTGCGCTGATGATGAGGAACTCGTTGGCGACTTTAATGCTTTTTTGTTGGGACATTCCCAGTATCTCGGGTTTTCCTTCGATTGTGGTGGTGGACTTGGCGGACATGGTGACAAGGGACGGTACTCCTTGCGCTCGACCGATTTTCGATGCATATAACCTTTTACTCGATCCATGTCTTATCGCTCGTAATCGAAGTTTCCGATTGAATGAAAAAAGCTTTGTACACTGTTTATACACACTGTCAGATCGGTGACATGTCGCGTGTTAAGAGAAGCGCCGATATTTCGGCTGCTAAACAAAAAAACATAACTCTTCTGCAGTAAATGTGGAACGCAGGATGTGCAGGTATCCACACAAAGGCGAATACTCCGAGTCAAACGCACCCCCTTTTTTTTGTCAACGATTTCTCTTTTATTACTTGAACATGCGTTCTCTCGTCTAGATAGTATTTACTTAAATTTTACGATCGACAATCTAAAAAATTAAAAGCTGCGCTTTGTGATCCCATATTTTATTTTACTAACTTCCCGTTGTTTGACGAGAAACCGCCCTTCAACTTGCTTTTACGCGTTTGGAAATATGATTTTCTCTACATGGTTTGCCATAAATTTTTATTGCCATGGATCTGACGATTCTGAGGATCTATGTTTTTGCTTATGTTTCCAATATCGTTGGGAAGATTTCTAATGACACGTTTCTTGAATATTGTCATGCTCGCCGATCGGTGACCATTAACGTTCGAGTTTTATGTTCATGCTTTGTCCTGACGACTATTTTTTGTTGAAATTTTCACGAAACGGAGAAATAGTGGAGTCCACTGGACATAACGAAATATATATAGAGCATAAGTGCTCGACACCTCAGTTGGTGCCTTGAGAGATTGTCGAATTGATCGCAATAAGAGCGGTGCGAAAAGTGTGGCTAACCATCGTGCGAACGTCATGGATATAGCGGACATAGGCGAGAACATTGGAAACGTGGATCCTGAATAGTTCGCGAATATTTGAGATAAAGTGTGTTTTATAACAGAAATGGCAGAAAACTTGGAAGTAGATTTTGAGGAGATAGTGAATGAAGATTCATCCGACGAAGAATCCGTGTTATCCGACGACACCGGTTTTGACGCGAGCGAATACGAAACGGATTTTGAAGAAAAATTTATACCAGCTGCGGAAATCCGTGCACTGAACAACCGTACCAAATATTGTATGATCCAGTCTTATTACACAACGGGCAGTCCTTTAACCGTATGGGCTGCATGTATGGTCCTTTTAGCTGACATCGACACTTGGGAATGCATTTTATAAAGAAACATAATATCAATTATATTGATGCGCTGAGCGGTCGGTTTTGCACGAACTGCAGAGTGACACTGTACACTATACATCCATGCAACAGATGTCCACAGTGCACAAATTAAAAACTATTTTGAACAGTATTGTGAGCGAGACATGGAAAATATGTGGAAAACCGTGACGATGTAAATGATGTGTTGTACGTTCTCGGTAATCAGCGAAAGAGAGACATAAATGGTGTGCGAATATCGCCGGTGCAGTTTCTACGCGAATTAGGTATACGCGGTGAGAAACATGGAAAAGTTATAACATCGTCCGTTTCTGCCTGGTCTTTACTCGCGCGACAGAGAATGTATACGCGATTACGAGAAGAATGTAAGAACGATGACAATAAAAATATAAATGTCAATGTAATAAAGTACGATTATTATTGGGCGAAGAAAAATCGCAGATAACATCCAGCGTTGGTGCACGTGCATTAAGATTCCCGCGGGTAGTGACAAGTGTGTCTAACTGTTGATTATTGACAATATGTGGCAGGGGCTTCGTGATAATATACCAAATTTGTTTTTCGATGTATGCAACGATCGATGCTTTGAGTGTGAACAGTGCATTTTCGCGCACAAACATAATGGCACAGTGATAGAACGTTATCACGTTCTAGATACGAGGCGGTGCTGCAACGTATGTAAACAAGTCATATGCAAGTGCTCCGTGGAAGAGTGTGACGTGATCTAAAGACTTCGATTTTAAAAAACATGGAAAATCACGAGCGAGTGGAACGCGAACTGCTGGAGCAGTGCGGCCAGGTCGCTACTCTGGTGGAGTGTTTCACGTGGTTGCAATGATGCGACGAGTGCATCGAGCGGCTCGAAGAACTTTGTCATGCCAAGCGTCCGCGTGTTGCTGTTGGGCATAGACAATCCGTGATGGCGAGGATCGCGCGACTCGCAGGTTCAAAATCGCAAAAACTTCATTTTTCGGACATCTTCCACTCGCTCGAACGATCTCAGCGATAGCGTCAGCCGTCTCGCTTCCACCCTTGCTCTTGAGTGGCACGGCCCACGCGTACTTGCTCAACACATCGATGACGGTGAGTATGTAGTGGTGACCTCTGTTGAGGCTCGAGTACGGACGCATCTCAATTATATCAGCCTGCCACAGATCGTCGTATCCCCGGACTATGACGCGCCTTCGCGGAAAATTTCTTCTTGCAGGAGCGTGCAATTCGACGTCTCTCGGAGCTAACTTTTTTGTTTTTATCGGATTTCTTTTTTATGATTCGAAGCATAATACAGAAGAGAATAATGTATTTTTTCTCGCTGTTGTCACTCGACTGCCTCGTTTTATTGATAAGCGATTTAATTTATAATAACACCGGCTTCGTCGAGTAATCGTAGACGATCCATCAGCTCGTTGGAATCGTCCCAGTGCACGTAATCGATCGCGTTGTCATTTAGCGTTATGGCGCGAGGTAATCCTTTTCCAGATTTCTTACTCTGTTTCTTGGGTGTGACCAGTATCAACGGCGCGATTATGTATTTATACTTGTACCACCTGTTGCTCAATAATCGACCTTGCGAATGATGCTTGTGTTTGTGCGCGTTCGTCATCAACAGCATGCTCTTGTACTTGTGCATATCGTCTTCCGTGAAGATGCCTAGAGGGCATCGTTAGGAATTCTCTTGAAAATCAACTCGTAAAGACCGGGTGTACCGGCGTATCGTACGCCAACGATAATTATGTTGTCCGCGTCATTCACGTCGAAACGTTCATTGCCAAACATCAATCCATCGTGTAGGTAAACGCCGTACACGTGATCTATACCGCTCTCTTTATCTTACGCTCCCCTCAGGACAACCTCAACGTACTTTTGGCCCAGCGGGCCCAAACTGGCTCGTAACGCCTCTCGACCTTCCGACGTTTGCAGCTGATTTTGAACCTTCGTCGCTATCGAGCCTTCCGTCGTTTCGAAAACATTCTCCAATGACTCTATCGTCGGTACGATTTTGGCACGTGGGGTGGAAGTTATCGGTTTGCGCGATCGATCACTGGATTTATGCAGAGCTGCGGAAGGTTCGAACGTCTCGCTCGCTTCTTCTTCCTCCTTTTATTCCTCCTCCTCCTTCCTCTCACGTTTAGGGGCAGACGGTGCATCTTCATCGCGCGACTCTCTCTTTGTCGCGCGCTCGCCGGGGTTGTCGGCGAAAAGTCGCAATGGCTCGATAAGAGGTTTAAAATGTCTATCCAACGCGATGCCCTCCTCGATTCTATCGGTCTTCAGAGCGCGATGTTTCTTGCGGATCGACTCGCTCGTATTCTCGATCTCTCTCATGATTTTTTCGCGCTCGCGCACATCTGCCGTGTTTGTCTCTGGCTAAGTATCGACAACGACTGGTTACGTTACGGTATCGCCAACTTGCTAAATCCTTTTCTGTATCGTCCATTTGTGAGCGCACTGTCTTTGTCTACAACTAGGAAACCATATTTTTGTTGCCAACAGTCGCGGCACAACGCGCAAAATTCGTCGTACGACAGGTCGGTATTCACATGATCGTTGTAAACGTGTTTCAAGTTG